AATTTTATTGGGTTATATAAAAGTTCATTTGATTTATTAAGTAAAAATAAAATATATTTTTTAATGTCTAATATCAACTTTATTGAGCAACATATTAACTGTTTTCTTCAATTATTTTCTGTTATCGTCGAGCCAATTTCATAATTCTATTAACCTTCCAAACATTTACATCTTTTTCAATGAACAATTGCTTTAGTTGCATTTTGCAGCCTTTCAGAGAATTTACATTTTTTACATTCAGAGAATTGTCTAAAAACTAAATGGTAATCTGAAGTTGCACTATCTGGTAAATATGGAGTGGAAGCCAGGCTGCCACAATTTTTACATGACTACCAAAAAATATGTGGTCTAGTGTTATCCTAATGGAGTTTTAGGACCTTTTTTTTTACTAATTCCAGAAGTTCCCTTCAGCTGATCTAACTGCAAGCAGTACTGGTTTGAATCAATTAGTTAGGTCCATGGATGGCAATGATGGTTTCCAAAGGGGCATGAAAATAATATGAAGTAATTTTAGTTTGCAAATTCTTTCTTGTGGCCTCACTAACTTAAGAGTCACACTGCAAAAACACTCTAGCAACAGGCCTGCAATCAGTTGATCCTCCAGAAAGAATTTATGGTAAAGGACTCTCTTCTAATCTCACCAAATATATAGCATTGCTTTTAGATGAATACTCATGTTTGGTATAGTTAGTAGTATTCATTTCACTTGTTCCATGACCTCTTTGTTGAAGCAGTTTCATTAATTTTCCTCAATCTTTCAATTCTGAACAAATCTGTAATTTTTATTTTTTGGTGTTCTTCACATTCCTCTTCAACAATTTTGTGTCTTTACACTCATTTCCATATTACATTCTAAATGTAAATGATTAATGTTTAATTTTTACATCCCTTCTGTATATTTTAGAAACTTATAAAACTACTGTATTAAATTATTTCTTCAGTTAAAAAAGAAAACTTGTGTATCCATGAAAAGTTTTAAGGAAAATTTACTAATCAGATATTAATTGGGATTATTAAATTTATTCATTTCATTTTCAGTTTACCTATCATGTATTCTCTGATGATTTTCAGGGGATATTGAATAAGTATTACACTTCCATATCATTAAGATTTTGAGTTGACATAATAATTTGATCATTCAAAATATTATTTACACTTTATTGCTTGTTGCTAATTTGAGAACTCAGTTATTAAAACATTTTAAAGTTGAAACAGCAAAAATTAGACAAGAATTTCAATAATTTTATCTTATTTTTATTTGTTTATTTTCTTTCTTATTTTTGTTAATAAAACTTAAATGAAATGTTTAGTTTTGTTTGTTTTGTACTGGTTTTAATCCAAAATTGTAAAATAATTCATTGTTCTACAAAGTTTGTTAGATACAAAAAACCTTACGTTAAAAAAATAATTTAATTTAATTTTATAAATTAAAAATAAGTGTACATTTTAAAAACTCTGTGTATATAAACACATTTTGTAGAAATAGAAATTTAATTTTTATGCAAGATTTATAAAACAAAATCCTTTCTGTGATTTGTTAACTGAATCTGGCATGGTGAGATAAAAACTATATATAATATGATAAGAATTTTGTATATAAATCAAAACTGTTCATTCAACACATATAAACTGTTTCTTATGTATAAGTAAACTTTAACTGATTACCATGTGTTAAGAATATGACAATCCAATATTTATGAATAGTCTTATATACTTTTTTCCAAAATGAAGCCATTTTGTTTTTACTAAACTCATACGTTACCATACAGTAAATATGAATTTAGACATTAAGATAATTATAATTGATATTGCTCATCTGTACAATATTATATACTAAATTAAATATAAATCAAGGATCAATTACATATTCTTTGCAGAATATTCACCAAAACAATTTTTTTTTCAAAATAATTTAATCAACATTACTGATTTCATTTTACAAAAAGAGGCTAAATCTTTGTTTGCTGATAGAATGAGGTACCATATAACCTCTAACAAGTTTGGTTCTTGTGACTATTGCTGGCTATGTAATAGTGTGTTAAATAAGAGTAAGTCTTCTATTCCTCGTCTCTTCACTCAATTTGAAGTTTTAACATCATCTACTGCTAAAGCAGAATGTTTTGCTTGTAAATTCTCTTTAAATTCTACACTTGGCACATATGGAGTATCTTTGCTTGACTTCCCAACTGAATCTCTCTTGAGTGATATGCATATAACTCTGTCCATATTTTCTACTATCATTTATAAAATTGATTCTCACAAAACCTGAAAACTTGATGGTATCCCTACAGTAGTCCTTAAGAAATATGCTCCTGAACTGACTCCTGTTCTCTCTAAATTCTACAATAAATGCTTTGCTGATTCTTACTTTCCTGCTCATTGGAAATCCTCTTCTGTAGTTCCAGTCTTTAAGAATTCTGGCAAACCATCTGATCCTTCTATCGACCTACTTTTTAGCAAAGTACTAGAGGCTCTAATTAACTGAATTGGTTAAGCATTTCACCTCACAGTCTTTCATTTCTCTAGGTGAACTGCTGATGTGCTAACGACTATTGCTGAAAGAGTCTATTGAGCTTTAGATAAGAATGGTGAAGTTTAGGCTGTTGCTTTGAATATTTCAAAGGCATTTGACAGAGTTTGGCATACTGGTCTTTCACAAGTTGAAAGGTTATAGTATTTCTAGATGAATTATTGAACTGATTCAGTCTTTCTTTTCAAATTGCAAAATTAAAGTTATCTTCTTGAATAGACACCCTTCTTGATATATTTTTGCATTAATGTAGATGTTCCTTAGGTTCTATCCTTGGTCCTATGTTGTTCTTAATTTTTATAAATGATTTTCCTAATGGCATCAGTCCTCAATTCAATATATGTACAAATGCTATGCTGTAAAGTTCTTATCCTAACTTGCTTCACAAAATCTGACCAAATGACCAAACCTTTGGAGGTATCAAGGGCTTCTTGGTTAGGTTGAGAACTTTTCATCCCTTGCTACATTTATATATAAGATATTAAATTTATTAATTCATTTAAAGGTTTTCACAATTTATAAACGAAGTAAGTAAAATAAGCCACTAATAATAAAAACATCATTTTTCATTGTAAGAATGTTAATGCTTACTAAGATTCAAATATAATTGATTTTAAGGTAAGTAAGCACGCACACGCACACACACACACACACATACATACATACATACATATATATATATATATATATATATATATGTAGAAAAATATACTGAAAAAACAAACAAAAATCCTAATATGCGATTATGCTGTTTTAATGTTTAATGTCAACATCGGACGTTTCAGTCTAATAGACCATCTACAGGACATATTCATAAAACATAATTAACATAGACCATATACAATTCAACATGAAAAAGATGATGGACATAAAAGCAATACCAATCCAAACAGATAACTGAAATCTTTATAAGATCAGCGTTCTGTTTGAATATGATCACGTCATTGTCACATGAGCGATGTTGTGAAAACGTATTCCTAAAATTTGAGTATATTGAATGAAAAACGAAAAGAATTTTATTTTGATCTAAAACTTATATGTATGTTTGTCAAGCATTAATCTTGCTAGAAAAGGGGAAATATTAAAGAAGCCAGGTCTATGGTCTGTTAATTATGTTTTATGAATATGTTCTGAAGATGGTCTATTAGACCGAAACGTCCGACGTTGACATTAAACATTAAAACAGCATAATCGCATATTAGGATTTTTGTTTGTTTTTTCAGTATATTTTTCTTCATACTGTCGGATCTATATCCATATATTTGCTTACATATATATATATATATATATATAGGATAACTGATGTTACATGATACAAATATTTAATAAGTTTTAAGTCATGTGTCCTATCTATATAATAAATACCAATGTCAGTATGTCACACTTTTTCAATTACAATGACACAACTCTCAAAAGTTTATCTCCTTCTTCTATATAATAAATATCAGTGTCACAATTTTTCAATTAAACGGTCATAACTCTCTAATTTTCAATAGCTCATGTTACAGAAATTTTGGATTCCCAAGTTTTCATTACTGTGATTTTTTTTTTCAGTGATTTTTTTTTTTTTTATATATATATGATTTTTTGCGAAAATTTTTTATGTACAATAACAATTTTTATAACTTGAAAATAAATTTGGGAATAATTTAAATTAATTGCAAAATCCAGCGAAAGTCACCCATAAAATAAAAATAATTGTTTGTACAGAAAATTATCTTTAAATTAAGTGGCGGCAGAAGAATTATTGTTGAACTTTTAAAAGGAAAGCTTAAATATTAATGCAGTACTTAAATACAGTGATCAATTTTGAGTTCTTTTGTAGTTTATTGTTGCCTATCACATATGGCAGCAGTATGCCTCACAAAAAGAAATCTCTGCTAACAAATGACCAGAATTCAATTAAAAGAACCATGGTTGCAGCAAGGAAAAGAAAGTCCCATGCAAATGAGAACCCAGATCAAACATCAGCCAGAAGAACTTCCAGTGTTGAGAATGTGCAAAGACTGAAGGACTCTCAAGCTCCTGAACAAGCTGAAGGCCTAATCAAGAGCCTTCCACAGGAGCTAACTTCAGTGCCCCCTCCAATCGGGAGCTTTTATGCTAGTATTTAATAAATTAAAAAAGAACATGTAAAATATATGAAAAAATGGAAAATTCTTGTCACAATAATTCACTGCTCATTTGTAATGTGAGCAAAGCTTGTCATTATTTCTATTGCCCTGTAAATTATATTTTAATTTAAAATGATTTCTGAAAGAATACCAAATTGAAACCGTTTCAGAAAAATTCTCAAAACATGAGGTTACTTTTTATTGGCTAATTGTCATCCTGCTTTTCCACTAATTGTACCTGGTCAGTAATTTTTATCTATGTATCATTTCTTTACATTTTCATTTTCAACTCTGTGGTATCTCATATTTGTCATTTTAATCAGTTTATTTAAAAAAAAATACTTTTAATCTTTCAGATGCAGTGGAATCGCCTAAAAATAAATGCTGAATCCAGAAAGAGAAAGCTTTCCAGTAATGTACCGTTATGGTTCCAGTTTCGACACAGGGTTGAGGAATTCCATATTGCGCTTGATGGCTTAGAGCTTGTCTTGAAGGATTATATCCAGAAAGAGGTAAATTTTAAGACATTTACAAAATTCAACTTTTGTTTAAGAGATTTGGGGGGAAATTTTATGAATAATATTTATTTTATAACTGATACCTTTTATTTTCTTTATTGTTTTACTAATTCATATTATTGCATTTTTGGTTATCAGTACCTTTATCAGTATCATTCCAGCAAGCTTAACTCACTGTTTTTATTCTCGCTGAAACAGTATTAAATATCAATCTACTGTATTAAAAATGTATTAGTTTTATTTGTTAATTCTAAAATATTTAGAGAAGGTGTATTTATCAAAAATTAATTTTGAATAAAATAGGCATGATTTTTATAAAAATTTATGTTTCTTTCCAGATTTAAATTAATACTGTTAGTACATTTAAATAAGCATTTTTACACATACATACACTAATAAGAAATATACATTTTATTCCTCACTGTTTGGTACAACTCTGAGTTTCATGCATGTGGCACAGATTGAAAACTATAAATCTTACTCTTGTTATTATACCTCAAGCATTGTTTTATTGCTACCACCACTCACTGCACACTATTTTACATTTATATATGTATCTGTATCTGGAATAATTATAGGATTGTATTTAAGAGCATTAAGAATCTGCAGCCCCAATACTTATCTAAAAAAGAAATATACATAGAAATCACTTTCCAAAACCTCCCATATTCTTATTATTTCATCCACAATGCATACAGAATTTGTGCAGAAAGAATATATGACCACAAAACCATTAACAACAATGAGCTTGATAAAAACAGATGTATAATACTAGCTACAAATTCTATAACATCCACTATCCAAAAAAATTTATCCAAACATCAAAATAATTACAACCACATCCAAAGCTATTATGAATATGATCAGAACCAAAAATACTCATAATAATTCTGAAGCTCGTATGTATAAAATAAATTACCAGAATTGTTCCTCACACTATACTGGAGAAATGTGGAGAATTCTTTTAAAAAATGTATATATAAACACAAAAGGAATCTTATGCACAACAATTCATCAAATGCATTAGTTATACATAGAAATAAATTCAACCACAATTTTGATCTAAAAAATACCACATTTATTAAAAGCAAAATTAACTTACTTAGAAGGAAAATTCTTGAGAGTGCTGCTATTGAATCTTATCAAAATATGATTCTGCACCTTACATTTTTTCCAATATCTTCATTCCTGAAAGAATTACTACTTCCCCAAGACGACATACATGACTATAAAAACGTTTCAAAAATGAAAAGAAAGCTGCTAAATTCCTAACATCATGTTATTTAAAATATATAACACACAAATTAATCCAAAACTAAAATAATTTAAATATTAATTTGCATTTAAAAAAAAAGGTCAAGAACATCATGTACTCACTCTTGTTTATTAGACACTTTGCATCCTTCATAGCTTGCCTAGACCTTTTGGCTAACCTGATGAATATGAGCATTCTTAAATTTGAAAATTTTGAAAAACCAATAACAGTTTTGCTCTTGTATATAAATACTTGTTACAAAATAAAGTCTTTGCATTTGCCTTGATAAAGTCCTTCAGAGGACAAAATGTGTCATCTTTGTCTTTCAAAAGTTTTTCCTTTTGTCTTTCTATTCATATATATATATATATGACAGATAAAACTGCATATTTTTCCCTTTAAAAAGGTAACTTTTTTTGGCCAACACCTCATAAGAAGAATTATTGGCAAATAGTGTAATGTAATCAGAATCATGGGATAATAGCTGTACTCTGAGGAAATAGAGAACTAAGCTTAAAATACAATCTAATATTAAAAAGAGGGGAAAAAAGGGCGAATTTCAATTTGTGTATAGTTCAGTAAATGTAGGTTTACAGTAAACACTAGTGATGTATTTTAATTGTAGTTCCTCATCTACTCCCAACTGCCTGATGAGATGCATCAAAACATGACTGCATTTATGTGGTGGTTTTACATATGTTTCAATGTAATATAATAAAGTATATATATATATATATATATATATATATATATATATATATATATATATATATATTTTTTTTGGTAATCTGTATGGGATATCTAAGAGGATATTTGACATTATATATATATATATATATATATATAGTCATGGACTCTCTTGTCGTGAACGGTAAATGAGGGTCATCACTGGATGGAGCCTTTCATTTTACACTTACACATGCTAGCAGGGGCTATTATGGAGAAAATCAGGTAAGGGAGAGACATTTCATTTGTCCTTTTTTAAGTGCAATACTAGCCTAGCCTTGTTGTGGGCAACAAAGCCATACTGACAGATGAAATTTGTTAAAGCAGGATTTTGATGGCATCTCTGCTTCACAGCTTGATAAAGTTGATCATGGCGCTTCAGTCTGCTGTCTTCAAAGCCCTTTAACTTAATGAAATATGTCTTACACCACTCCTTTTTGATGCTTGGACTTCCCAGGTTTTCGGATCAATGTTGAGACATTTCAAGTTGGCTTTCAATTTGTCTTTGTAGCTTAAGTGTGGATGTCTGACTGAACACTTGGAGTTTGATAGTTGTCCATACAGCACCTTTTTTGGAAGCCTGTGCTTATTCTTATATATGCTTGATATCTTGGCATAATGTCAAAAAACTGTTTCTATCAGAATATGAATCAACCATTTTTATCAATTCTGAGTTTGGTTATAATGATCAGTTTAGCAAGTTTTATAATATATATATATATATATATATATATATTATAATGAGCATTTAGGTGCAAAGGAAAGGAACAAACAAGGATTCAAATTTCAGCAATGTGTATTCCTCAAATAAACATAATATATACATAATTATTTGAAATTTATAAAAAATTGTTCATGTGTTGTTCTTTAGCTGCTCTTGGTATGGAGAGTAAATTAGTTGTAAGGTGTTGTTGGTAGGACTAGGAGTTAATCGATTTATTAGGTTGGTTGGCTGAGGTCACAGTTGGGATCAGAGGATAGGTCTGAAGCATATTAGTCATTGGTGGGGTTTGATATGTGCCCTTTTTCATAGTTGAAATCGACATCTGTAAGGTGCTTGATGGGGGTGGCTGAGATGTTGAAGCCAAAGTGCCTGGTAAGGTGGGTTGGTGGGTCGATGATTTAAGGTCATGGTGATGGGTTGACTCATGATAAGGTGCATTGGTTGCTGAGGTTATGGTGGTGGTGACAAGGGATTAGATGTATATAGTGAACATTGATTAAGTAGAGGGTCTTAGTTGGATTCTGGTTGAATCGGAGATCAATGAGATGGGGTGTCACAGTGGTTACAGTGAACGTTGAATGGGCTGAATGTCCCTGTTGGATTCTGGTTCAATGTGGTATCAACAAGATGGGGTCATGGCGGTGACGACAAGGGAGGCTTGGAGCTGGATGGTGATGATATCAAAGTGTTAGAAATCAGAGCTGGCCAGTCGGCTGCATTCTGTGTATGAAGATTCAGGTGAGATTAGTGAAACTTAGGTGAGGCTATGGTTGTGATGAGAGAAGTGTGCCAAAAACTAATGAGGGGCTCTATTTCAAGCAAATCTGGTGGTCCACAGGGATTCTTTTTTTCTCTGGCAGGAACGTTTGTGATTCCCTATTGTATTTTTACTGCAGGGATTAATTTTGTGGACTGGATGTGATGCTCAAAGCCCCTGCACAAAAAATGACTTTTTTAATTTTGTGTTTTGCTTCTTAGTGTTCACATCCTGCCAGCATGTATTGTGAATCAGAAAGATTAATTGCAATAGAGTATAACACACACACACACACACACACAAAATATATATATATATATATATATATATATATATATATATATATATATATAATTGGGTCTATTAGATGTATATCAAAAGCCTGTTTGTAAAGTCTTGGTTTTACTGTTGCAATCTGTATGACATTATGGTAACCACTAATTTTTGCACTTGTTGTCGATATACAGTGTCCATTGCTCATCTTCATCCATAACAATCCAGTGAAGAAAATGATAGTGGGTGTTTATTCAGGTCATCAGAAAGTCTCAAATAGTTGAATATTGTGCTTGATTCTCTGGTAAAACCAAATTCATTACTTTGATTTCTTTCCATTTTGCTTGAGAGGTTTGTGTGTAGTTGAATATGATGCATTTACTCTGATAAGAAACTGCTTCAACAGATGCCTTTCAAAGATCTTTATCCAAAGTCATAATTCTAGAGTGAGGCATATTCTGAAGGATATCAGTTAAGTTTGCTAAACCATTGGCATTTATGCAGTTACTGTGCCTGAGTACACGGCATGAATATTTTTGTTACCTCTTTTGCATCACAACTTTTTTAACATTCATACTGTATGAAATGTTGACTATAATACTTATTAAAACCTTTGTCTTCCATGGGATTCAATATTACCATTAATTATAAGCATTTCACAGCTTTATAGAACAGATGCTAAACTAAATCAAAGTCTCATTGCCTACTGTTTAATCTTGATTCTTGCAGTAGTTGGTTGGTTCTAAATATGTATATCTTAAATGTGATATTACTTTCCCAACAAGTATGTGGTGGCAGTCATTGTATTAATTGAATTTTTTTTTTTAATCAAATCACCCCAAGCAAGGTGGGAGTGCCACTTGCATGCAAGGGGGTTACTGAGAGTAAGAGTAAAGAGGAGTATTTGGGAAAAGGATAAAAAAGAAGGACAAGGTCAAGGCATCAGAAGACGTTGATTGACATTACATTTGAATATTTGAAGATTATGGCTATCAAGGAAGCAAGTGATAGGAAGGGAGTTCCACTGACAGGAGGTGCAAGATAAGAAGCTGTTAAAGTAGAAGAGATGGCTACATTTAGCGAAAGGGTAGGACCGTGATGCCAACCTAGTATCACACTTAAATTCATGCAGTTTGGAAACTAATGAAAGTAGCTCATCGGGGCAGTTGCCATGAAAGTATTTGTAGAAATGACAGAGTGAAGCCACAGCATGTCTGTGAGATAACGACTGCAGACGGAATACCAGATCAGAGCCAACC